CGCTCCCCAGAGCCTCACCGCAGCCTTGCCCTCTTCTCGGCAGCTGGTTGAATGCCAGCATTGGTGTGAAGCCCATCCAAGTCTCGCTGTTGAATCCCAGGAAGTTGTCAAGGTTCAACCGCCAAACCCTCGAGATGAAAAGGGGTCGGCGGCACCCGGGCGGAGCCCTTACAATATTCCATATTCTTCCCCTGTTTGATGCCCAATCTTCAACCTGACTTGATCTCACAGGAATTCTTCTGGAATTCATGGACGTGAACGGCCTCTTTTTCCACATGGTTTCACCAGTCCCCTCGATCCCGGACATGAAAAAATAACAAAACAATCAAAAGATCAACAAAACAACTTAAATTGAGAATCTAAGAAAGGAGTTCCACCTCATCGACATATCAAATCCGTCAAATCACCTTGAATCGGCATACATCCTGAATCGATCCAACTAGGGATCACCGGTGCTGTCGGGCTTCGCGGCGTTCGGCGTCCGGGCATCTCGAAGAGCCGCTCGGCTGAGAAGCTGCGCTCAGTGTCGAGCCAAAAGACCTGAAAAGACACTGAGAAGTGGTAAACGACACTTAAGCCAAGTGTTTATCAAAACAAACTCTTGGGAGAAGTTCTGAGAAGCAAAGCTCTTTGGTTCCTCTACTGTGTTGCCACACCTGCTTTCCCGAAGTCTGGAACAGAAGCAAGGACAAAAGGGGAAGGAAAGTAAACATTAGAAGAGTATCAACAGGATAACAGGATGAAAAGGGCAAGAACATCAAAACTAACGTATACTAAAGCCAAGTACAGTAAGGAAAGGAATAGGATAAGAAGCAGCTGCATCAAAGGGAAAGTGGACAAAAACCAATGAATGACAAGGAGAGGACAAAAATATGACAGGGAGAGGAAAAAGAACAGGAGCATAAAAGGACAATATGCAAGTGAGAGTCACAGCAAAACAAAGCAAAATAAACGCGCACAATTCAACGGGTCAAGCAAAAAAGAATGGTCTTCTCATAAGCTGCATTTCTGGGCCAGTGCACGCACGGGGGTGGTCTCTAAAGTGGTTTGGCTCGGCTTGACTAGCTTAGTTGGTTTGGCTGGATAGTGATAGTGTTGGCAGCAGGCTAGACAACTGGCACATGCTAGCTGGCTGTTGGACACCTACACTGGATCGAACTCGTGTAGATGAAACACATAAGTCTGCCATGTGCAACACTACCATACGAGAATCTGTATTGAAATAGCATGTTGATACATGTTGGAAGCACACTCACAAACAAAGCCGTGGAAGTTGTGGTCACTTTTCTTTACTTTGTCAAACTAAATACATCCCCTGTAGAATCTCTCCAATTTGATTTCAGGCCTCACCCCCAGTGATGGCAGTCAAAGCTGCAGCGTGCAAGCAGAACCTTGGATTCAATCGGCCCAGGAACCCAACACCATCAAGACCCAACGCCCACCAACACCCTTTGAACAGCTCTCCTCTGAAGGATTCGGTAGATTTTGCAGTTTTTAGATGACCTGATGCATCCTGATACAACAGGCTGGGGTACCTGCACTCTGCCAAGGGGGTGGCGAGATTGAGTGAAGCACTGACTAGTCCCATTAAGAATTTGAGACTTTGACCCCTATTTCTGAACATTCTCCCAAAAGGCCAAAGGATGAGCAGAACACACCCAAACAGAATGTTCACCTGTTATGGCTTTCATTTTGCTGGTGCCCCACAACTCATGTATATGCTGTAGTTTGGAGGCAACCGCTGTTTTTCCCCTAAGGTAATTCATTTCGTGGTGCCACTGTTATCCTCTGACAACTCTGAGTGAATCAATTCACTCCAGTCGGTGCAGGATATGGGCTTCTCTGACCGGAAAGCCCAAACTTCTTGTCGAAGAATAGAATAGAGCTCCAAAGCTTAATCAGGCACCGCCCAAAGACGCAAATACACCAGCCAAAACCATGGGACAAATCAAAATGGTTTGAAAGGACGGCAACAGTTCTTTCTACATGAATGAGTTGTAAAATAGGAAGGACAGGAAGAATATGACAAGGCAGTCAAGACATGTCAAGACAAAGTAGTGCGGATGTCTTTGGGGCACATGGGAGGTTTATGAGCATAATGTTTCAGAGCAACGTCGTTGTTGTGTTTCCAAGTTATTACCCCTGGCCCAATAGAATGCAGCTTCTGCTATATATATATATTATACATATATACATTTTTATATATGTATATTACAAAATGTAAATATATAAGTATCATTAAGCATAGATGGATATACCAAGGTTCATCATATGTCCTAAGAACTTTCACATCGCTCGCCACCAAGACGCTGTGTCTTCCCCACTCCAGGAGGTCCTGCAACCTGGCGGGCGCCCGCCAGGTCCCGGTCGACCGAGTCCGCGAGATTGGTTGACATGAGGGACCTCCAGAACTCAAGCATTTGTAGTTTGTGTCTTTATTGTTTAGGACATTTTAGGACAACATGCTTGGAAACTCAAGCCTTTTTATGCTTCTTCTTCTTCTTCTTCTACTGAGCCTCTTTCAGGGTTGAACACTCCAATGTTCTTTCCCCAACAACTGGCTCAACTGCTTGCATTGAACCGGCCAACGAAAACAGTTGAACTTTGCCAATTTTTGTCAGCCAGGCAATCGCTTCAGGGGATGCAAATATATAAACACATCACATGCATGCAAACCAAACAACACACCGGGGGGGGCATAAAAAGACACACGAAAAGACAAACACAATAACAAACACACACGTGAAACGAACACCGGTGGGTCCGACGTCCTGTCCGTCCGTCCGTCCGTCCGACGTCCGCCGGTCGGAGTCGGCGTTCGTCCCGTTCGAGACCGGTTTGAAAGACGTATACTCAGTATATTACTGGCAGTTTCAAGGAAACTCCTGGCTCAAATCCCAACTGTGTCATTATGTTTGGCAAATCCACATTTAAAACCACGAGGCGTTGTTCAATACGTTCGAAACACTTCGGAGGCTTGCGTTCGGGCTTTCGTGCTCTGAATGCTGCACCAAAACGTCTTCGCAAGCTGTCGCGGACAGAACTGATATCGCAAGCTTTCTCACATCATATCATATTGCATCCTGTTCATCGTGACGCTTCCTTTTCTGCGTTTGGTGCTGGGAAACCGCCTCCAGGATGGCAGCGGGAAGCCCACCCAAGGCCCGGTCCAGCGATGGCAGCGGTGCGCGAGACCGTTGACGCCTGGGTCGGCGATGTCTCGGCGGGAGATCAACCGTTGACGCCTGGATCAACCGTTGACAGTGAGTCCGATATAGTGAATTGATATGAGTGAGCAGGTCAACGATCTTCCCCCAGTTTTTTTTCTTTTAATTGTGAGTCCGACTCATTCCAACATATTGCAACCATTCATTGCTTCGTGAAGACCATCGTTCTATAAACATGGGGTGCAGCCGTGCAACGGTGCAAAAATATGCCCATTCCTATAGGCTATGAAGCCACAGTTTCCTTTCACCCAGGAAGCCGCAGTGTTTAGATCGTTTTGAACGATAGTTGAACGCTGTTTCCTTTCACCTAAAAATACCTGGGGTCTTGATCTGAATGGTACCCTACCTGTGTTCGCCATACCTGGACATGAGTCTACAGGCTGCCCGACTGAACCGCTTGGTTCCGTGCCGCCAGTTCCTGGCGCATCGAGTCACTCTGACTGGTGACATCTAAACAATTCAACAACCCTTGACCCTCGACGAAGCCTTTTTCTAATTGTATGAATTCAATCACTGGATCAAGGGGGTGCTTCACGAACTAAATAAACTGCAGACAATATAATAGAACAATTAGTGATGAGTGCCTCGGGCTTCACCACCGCAAAAATCCAGACTATATAAATGATTTCCGACAAGTCATACGTTCATTTCGTACCAACACGCTTCTGGTGGGCAGTATGCTGTACAGCTTTGTACGCTTTGGGCCCTCCACACACAAAAACACGACTTTGTCAAACCCAAATACCAGAACAAATGTCGATGCATCCGATCAAGACCATGAAGTGTCATTAGTGATTGGATCCCCCAAAACGGCGGATGGATCTGCAAAACGTCTCAAAATGCTTGTTGTTATTGCTTGTTGGTTGATATTTAATACATTGTATATCATGGTATAAAACGCCTTATGAACAGCTCTCCAACCTCCAAACTACTGAATCCCGGTTTGGGACGTATTTGATTCTAATCCATACAATCACAGTCCAAACATCGCTCGCTGATCTGGGCCGTCCGAGCCCAGGCACTCACTGGAGGAGAAGCGCAAAACGCCCAGGCGCGCGAGAGGAGCTGCGTCGCCTCGTCCTGGAGGCGAAGCGCAGCTGGTCGTGAGGCTGGCCGTTGATTCTGAAGTGAGGCTGGTCGTGTCTGCTTTGAATGGCGATTATAGATGTTTTACTGATTATTTCCTGGTATTTTCGGCTCAAGGCATGAACAGAAGTTGAAGGTGGTGCTCCATAGTCGATAGTCACGCATCTTGATTTTTACTTTGTGTATCTTTGTGTTGTAAGTGGCTTGCACTACCATCAGCTAAAGACTTAAGCAAGCTCAGGAGGAAACAAGCTATAGGGCCTAGGGGGAACTCAGCCATCCATGGTGTGGCCGAGACATGTCCAGAGCAAGTACCTGCATTTGGATCATACATATTATATAAATATAGTTTAATCGGTAAGTCTTCAATGGGCGCAAGGCAAGAATCGGGAGTATGTTCAAAACAATTCCCAACCATTTGGGCCGAGGCTTTGACCAAGTGCAACTGTTTTGCAAAGCAACAAGAACAGTTTTTCATGAAAAGCAACGGTCCAAAACATGTCTCCATTTGTTTGTCCTCTCAAAACGAGGTCCACTATGTAACTATGCCTCGCCATCCACACCCTTTGGCAAACCTAAAGTCCAACCCTAATATGATGGAGGTTCTTGGCCGGACCAATTCCCCCCCGCCCTGCAGGGCTGGTGACTGCGGCCTCAGTGATCAGAAGCCAGTCACGCAGTTCAAAGGCTGGAAGATGCACCTGGGCGGTGTCAGTGAGCACTTGGGCGGTGTCCCGAACCTGGAACTAGATCCGCACGGGCGTCACTTGAGGTTGGGAAGACAACTTCTCTTACCTCTAAGGGATGGCTTACAAACACTAAGTCACTAAACACACTACAATATAGTTTTGATATGTGATTACATTAGTCACTATCGTAGAGACACGGAACGCGGGCCGTCTACTGCGACCATCTTCCTAGTTACGAGACGATCGTCATCCCTGCTGACCATGAAAGGAACAACATGACCCAAATCGACGGCCATGGTCATCAGCATTCATCAGCCGTCACATCCGTCATCAGCTGGTCCACTAAGCTGCTCCCTTGCCTCACCGGTTCTTCCCAAATCTTCCCAAGCCAACCGTTCGACGCATGCCCAAGCCACAAAGTCCTTGATGGTCAACAGCCGCTTGGCACGCAAAAGCTCCACCAACGGCACCGTGCCCTGGTGGCTTGTCGACGGACAAGCAAGTAAATCAAGTGGTACGAAAAGGATGAGCTATAGCAAAGACGATCAAAGGCTATATCAGCAGGTGGAACTCCTCTGCTCACCCAAGCAATCGAACCCTCGTCGGTGACAGCTAGCGCATCGTGGAACGTGTCGAGTGATTTCACCCTCAGAATCCATCTTCATCCATCTTCTACGATCCACACCAAGAGTTTGATGATGTCAATGTCAGGATCCACCCTTGGTCTTTTTTACAAGCCAAAGCATCGAATGTTAAGCACTCCAAGCACAACAACAGTTGCAAAGTGCCGCATATTCTCCAGTAAAGTTCAAACATTTTATATACGATCTCTGCGTGACTGACTGGGGGCAACCTGCAAATATGGCCATTTGACACATCCAGAACTAGCTGCCACTTGATCCATCGCGACAGTCCCGCCATGCCCGAACGTGCCTCACTGAGCGCCTCGCTCCCAAAGAGACGCTCCAACGGCACGTCCCAACGACCTGGACGAGGAACGGTCCGGTGATGTCCGGTGAGCGAAGCGGTCGCGAAGCCGTCGCAGCTTCGGTGCCTGCAGTTTCGGTGGACAGCCCCATGGCTGTTCAGTTGTGGACGTGGAAAGGACTAGGACTGGCTAACTGATGACGCTTTGTAGATCAAACTGATCGCCTTTTTCGACCCGTGAAACACCATGTGAAAACATCGTATGCTTTACAACTGGACTTGGAGATTCTAGGAGTCTAATTAGGTGTCCTGCTGTTGGGCATTTTGCCAAATGGGTTAGGTCAGTTGAATGCTCGGAGAATCAAGCTTAATTAGGCTACTAAACTGGACACACTGCGCACTAGAGGCCTTTGTAGTGTTGCCGGTGAATGTGGGGACGCTCAACACGTTTGACAAATCTCTGTTTCACATGGCGGAACTCATCAAACCGTACAAACACATAGCGATATACACCGTACACCATAATGCAGCTCAAATTGCACCAGTCTGTTTATAATGATGGCTCGTGATGTCCGACTCCGACTATGTATTTTGCCCTCAAATATTGCATGCAATCCTTTGCAGCCGCTTCGCCGCTTCTCTCTGCTTGAGCTGCGAGCAGGGTGGCTGGTGCTCTGCGGTTTGATGTCAGGGTGGATGCATGTAGGAACACTTCTGGCGGACTTGATTTCGGATTCATGTGCACTGGGTCAATTGTGGATTGAGTTTGGAATGCAAAAGTCACAATACTCATACGTTCTAAGATGTTCTAAGTCTCCCCGGCAGGCTGCTGTGTGGCAGATAAAAAACCCTTTGGCCCGTCCCATTAAGATGTGTCCATTGCCTAGCTGTTCTCGCACTTCTCAGGATGAATGGATTTCTAGGTCCGAGTGATATTCACTGAGGCAAACACTTCATTCACCTCACCAAGACGCTTCTAGTAACAAGGTGCCTTACTACTAGTAAGAAGACGATACTAGTAACAAGTGCATCGCTACGAGTAGCTTCTTGTAACTAGTAGTCATGCACTTGTTACTAGCAGCGATGGATTCGCACAAACTTAACAACCAAAGTCAGTCGGCTTGACACGGGTGGCCTGGTCCCAGGCCGTCGTAGTCTTTTGGCCACTAACAGCCCTGGGCTTACCTCTGGTGAACAAACTATCTCAACACACAAACCATCCCTTCTCCGCCACTCTCTCGCTCTTTCACTCTCTCTCTCTCTCTCCCTCCCTCGCTCCCTCCCTTAACATTCGACGAACCCAGTCCAAATGCTCCGAACACACAGCCACATCAGCCACTGCATTTTTTCTACGCAATTTGACATGCACTGTCCAAATCTGTCCGTCCATCAATGAATCCAGTCACCACTATACTTCTGTCCAAGCACGCCATGGTAAGAAACTTATACAACATATTATTATAACAGTAACATCTTACAACCACTGAACTTATCCAAGCCAAAGACTCAAGACTTAGACAAATCTCCAACCTACTTGCTCAGCGTACTGTGCCCACCAACAAGTGGGACTCGGCTTTCACTGGGATGCTCTTCGGACAATTCTTCTCATCCAAGCCTTCCCATGATCATCGTCGCCACGCATGCGCCTCTCACTGCCACGTGTTCACCATGAGCAGCACATGGCGACGGGAAGAAGCTGGTGAAGGCGCTCGGCTGCCTGGTCTGTGAAATCCCGAGGAGCTGGGTCTGACCGAAAATTTCTTTCAAGAGAATCAGACCCCAACAGCGACCAAATTCACTGGTTTGGGTCAAAACGAATCCCCAAACCAGTGGTTTCAGATGATTATGTACTACCCCGCTGGGCAAACCTGCCCCAGATTCCCTCCCGAAGGCAACACTCCTGCATCTCAAGCAAGAAGCTTGTCGTCGCCCACGGTGTGTGCAGGTGGCAGGCGGGCGCATGCGTTTGAGGCTGGTAGTGGTCAATCTGAGATTAGAAGAGAGCGCTCCTTGGCTGACAATTTGTGCTGGGTTGTCCCCGGTACACGCACACCACAACACAAGGAGCTAAGACCAACTAGTGAGATCTCTGAGATCTCTGCAATTCACGGAGGAACGTGGATCTGGGGGTGAAGTTGGGCAGGATCCACGTTCGATGTTCACCAGAATCGTCCAAATGCTCCAACTAAAACTCAACTGGCAACCAGCATCCAGTGGACCAAAGCCAAAGCATCGGCAGCAATAGGCTTTTCTCAACACCTCTCCAAAACTGCGATGACTAACAGCCCATGATCAAATACACTACACAAAAACCGTTCACCATCATCATTCTTAATTTCCTAAATCCATTCTAATCCCTTCATCCCGCGGTTGCTGATGCAATCGGGCGTCTCGTCCACCGTGGGCAAAGGACCTGAGAGGAGACAAAACACAGACCTTCAAGGCCTCGTAAAAGGCTGCTAAAGGCCGGTGCAAATACCCACCCGGGCAAATTCTGAGCGATGGAAAATAACACTAGACGTATCTAGACGAGGTACTAGTACCTTGTCATTGTGTTATTCTAAAACTATGTCAACATATTGTCAACTATGCCACGTGACCTCTAGGACCTCAATTTGAGCGAACCAGAGGTTCTCTAGCCGCAGGGTCTGGCGGGGTTCAGAAGTGTATGATTGGGTGTCTTAATCAGTGTTTTGCTATGTTTTGCTGTTGGGTAGCTGCAGCTCTCATAGACGTTCTCAAGTCTGCCAATCTCACTTCGACTAGAAGTACTCTGGCGCCGACCAGTTTTCCGTTTCGATCCGTTAAAAAAAAGAGAGGTGCCGTTTCGGTCGTTTCCCCGGATCTTCGGATTGGGGCAGTTCCAGGTGAATCCCCACCACGACCGTCGGTAGCACGATCAGTAGGGACTGTCCCTCCCCAGGCCTGCCGCAGCATCACGGACTCGCCTGCCGCACGTGCGGCAAAATCACATGAATGAAGTTGGACAGGTCATCCCACCATTTTTGGTCACCAAATACTCTGCAAATGGATCAGGTCAATAGCGATTCACCTTGACCCACGAAGACGAGTTCTCCGATATTTTGGAACACTTTACCAGGGACATGAAGGGCAACCAACGACACTCCACAAAACATGCCAAGTAGCAACCGACGATTTAAGATGCCCGCGTGAAGCCTTGCCTCTCAGCAAGGATGCTGCGCACTGCATCTCTGGTCTTCTCGCTGTGCTTCGTAGCATTGCCTCAAAGGCGGCACATGGTGGCTCAAACAATGTAATGCTAACACCATGTGTTGCTAGTAGCGTCCTTTCTACTAGTAGTAATGCCAGGAGCTACTAGTAGCATCCTTCCTTGTTTCTAAGTAGCGATGCCCTTTGTTCCTAGTAGAGTTATGTTGGCGGCTCGATAGTCAAACCGTACAATTGCCTGTGTTTCGCTGGAGACTGATGATGCCAGGGACTTGTGGGGTGCAACGAGATAAGTACTTGCCCGGGCCGTTCTCCCAAGTCGTCATGGATTGAAACACTACACCTGACTCTACTACAAAGCGATTCACCCCACCCGTCTGGGGTTCCATTAGTCAAAAAATGTCTACATTAGATGACATGGCACCATATGATCCTTCTGGGGTTTGGAGGTCAAGCGGTTGTATGTAACCCCATCCAAATCATGGGAAGTGTTCCGTCTTGGCCATCCCACACTGCCGGATGCTGGGCTTCTGACGAACCGCATAGACGCCGGCCTCCCTGAGCAAGGGCAGCTCTGGGTCGGCGTAGCAATGGGAGAGGAGCACCGGCCTCGTCCGGAGCTCTGGATGACGCACATCCAGTCGTATCCAGTCACTTCCTGATGCATTCATCATAGTCCACTCCTGCCTTGATCCTATAGATTGAACACTGGTGTCAAACACTCACAAACAAAATCAGTAACATTAATTACGAATGATATTTGACGTTGTCGTGATGTCGGTCTTCTCTCTGGCATCTTGGCATCCCCACAAACCGGCTGAGAGCCGTAGGAACTCCGCTGCCTTGTGCAGCGGCTCGCAGTGGTGCTGAGAACGCAAAACAACTTGGAATGATAAGTCTATTAAACCATCGAGTTATTTGGTTCCATTTTTTATTCATCAAGTTATCCTCAGAATCAGGCACTCAAGGTCAAACAGAAAGAAACGTACGGCCTGGAAGGACTCGAGGATTCCTATCTATGCATAAAGGGACCTTCCTGGAAGATCCATCCCTTAAAGCTCAAGAACCTGATAAAATTGCAAACACGGACGTGTGCTGAAGATGCCATGTGCATGTATCATTTGTTTCCTTCCTTTTGACCAACCAAGCTTTGAGCGGCTGAAAACGGCTTCCAAGCGGGAAAACAAACTCCAAGCGTTGAACCTCGGGGCTTTCGAAGAGGATGTTGCCGCACAGCCTGCTGAGCAGGCTCCAGCAAGGAGCTAGTTGCAGCTGCATGGAGCAAAGAATAGGGATAGCATGGTGGCCACAGCCGATGCATGTGCTGTGATCAGCATTGTGCCAGCATGGTGACCATGTCCGCTACCTGAGGACATGCTCACCATGTACGAGCATAGAGAGCTTGAATGCATACGGTTGGTGGAAGGTGGAACAGGGCGATCTAACTGGGTCTGTCTTTTTCACTTCATATTCAGTCATGCCAAACTCATCAAAGCTGATGTTTAATGCAATCAAAGTAGTCTTTCACGTTCTTTCTCTGCCAATCCGGACTGGTCTTCCTCCTGTAGCAGTGAAACAGTGAAAGAAGCAACACATCCTGGGTGGGACTCTGCTAAGTTTCCGGTATATAACTGCATGCTTCACGATCTTCATGGGCTACCCATAAATCTTTTTGACATTTTTTAACATTTGGAACACGCTGGCGTAGATTGGCCAAGCAAGTCGACCGGATATGTATGGTCCGTTTGGGGGGTCAAAGCATGCCGAAGAGTGGTTGAAGTCCCGGTCACACCGCACCTCAACTGCGTGACCAATTCACACGCCAATGCAGCCTTGACAGCCTTGACTCGTGGAGGTCAAGCATGTGACCAGTCTTCTTTTTATATGTTTATTGTGTTTTTGTTTTTTCCGCTGGTGTCCCTTCATGGTTTCTCTATATCGCTTTCTGGGCGTCACCCCGAAGAGCACTTGGTCGACGGCCAAGTGGACTTATCCTCCGGT